AGACCCAGTATTAGCCGTCTATGACAAAACAAAGCCAGTGACCATACAAACGGACGCCTCACGACCAGTGGCTTATGCATCGAGGACATTGAGTCGCAGCGAACAAAAGTGGGCCCAAATAGAAAAAGAGCTACTAGCTATCGTATTTGCTTGTCAACGTTTCCACTACTACGTGTATGGGCGGGACTTCACCGTGGAAAGTGACCACAAGCCCTTAGAAACTTTAATTAAAAGGGACATAGATGACGTAACTGTCCGACTACAACGCATGCTTATGTATTAAGATACCCAAAGATGGAAGTGATGTATAAGCCCGGAAGAGATTTGGCAGTCGCCGACTGTCTGTCACGGGCACAATTGGTCGAGGTGGACGAAATTACGGTACTTTCTCACGTGATCCATTCAATAACCCGTTCCGTATGCCTCTCAGAAGAAAACTACAAATTTTACCGTTTAATACTCGAAAGGGACGAAAAACTCAAACGTGTTTGTGTATATGTAAAGTCGGGATGGCCTTCATACCACCAGTTAGATGATTTCAGTCGGATATTTCACAGATACAAGTCAGAGCTACATTTTGAAAATGGACTTCTGTTTCGCAACTGTCGTCTTGTGATTCCATCTGAATTGCAAGGCCGTATTATCAAGCTAATTCATGCTACACAGGGGATAGAAAAAACGCTTGCTCGCGCGCGAGTGCACTACTACTGGCCAAACATGAACTCTCAGATCAAAGAGTGTGAAGCAGCCTGTGAAATCTGTGAACAGTTCAAACGGAACAACCAAAGGGAGCCACTAGTTCAAGACGAAATGCCTGAATACCCATTCCACATAGCTGGAATGGACATTTTTGAATACGCTGGTAAACCCTTCATCTCGATCATCGATTCATACTCAGGGTTTCTGATGGTAGAGCAACTGGAAAACAAATCGGCGAATCATATTATTGATAAACTTAAGCGACGATTCAATCACTGTGGATATCCAACGAAACTCAAATGCGACAATAGTCCGTTCAACTGTGAGGCATTTGATAAATTCGCTGATGAATGCAACATCATATTGCAATACTTGAGTCCAACATATGCCCAAAGTAACGGTCTAGCCGAAAAAGGCGTGGCAATTGCAAAAAACATTCTAAAAAGATGTTATGCAGCACACGACTGGGAACAATATCAGTACCGCATCTTGGAATTCAATGCAACTCCCGTGGCCGGCATGGGGGTAGCGCCATGTCAGTTGTTTAGTGGGAGATTACTAAAAACAAAATT